GAGACATGTTTGCTCAACAGGGGTAATGCGGTCGATACATCTTTCTTTCTCTATTTCTCTATTTACTACACATTTTTTATAGCCTCGTGGTCAGCAGGCTGAGGTTTCTAAGCGCATGATCTCTCTCTTCACACTAAAGTCCTAGTCAACCTAACTACAGCTACCATATCCTGGTCCTATCCTGTTCTATTCTATCATACTTCGCCATAAACTCTCTCGATCTTCATCGTAGACTCACTCCATCACAATATAAACTAAAACACACGCCTCGATCTAACATCACCTATTAAATGCACTAATACTAACTGTATGCCATGCAAAAACACACACACCTCATTTATAATCGTATCTGAATATTCACTATCCACGATCAAACAAACAACATCATACAATCCTCAAATATCATCTAATACACACTATAATCACCACTATACTATGCAGCTACACACGCCAATAAATACACACTTTATTTCTCTTATGACTCTCAGTTTTGTTCTCCTCCTATACTTCTACCTATCCATCACTCATCACTAATCTACATCAAACTACACAATACTGATTGCTGAATGCCACAAACAGCAAACACTCCAAAGTGGAGATAATCTTTTCCACATATAAATCTCATTCCACTAACACATAAACAAACTCACTAAGAATAATTCAATTATAATCTAATGATACTATATCCTATTATCTCATCCTTGCTGCCTATGTTTTTATCTACATTATTTATTATTAGATGATAATCGCATGATCCACTCTCGACTATATTGATTGATTAATCCATCTTGTTCTTCTAGCGATTTCATTGTAATATTTTGAGCGTAAATTGGTTATTTATTAGTTTTGTTATATGGTTTTTTTTATTGTCATTCACTCCAATTAATCATTAAAAATTATTCCCACCATATAATGAATCTTTAATGTTTTATCCATATTATCCAATTGGCTGGTTAGGGAGGAGGTTAGTTAGTTATAACATACTAATAACCATATATCAGTTACCTTGTTTTTGAATTATTCAATTTTTTTGATTGTTGTGGCCCTGTTTCACTTTTAATGTTTATCAAATCGTCACCATCCATTTTCACTTTTGTAGTGGTGTTCATCATAATTCAATTAATATTGTTATTTATAGTGGTAGCAGACAGTAGTATATCATCTATTATTAAGATACTCGTTTATCATAGAATCATCAACTTGCACTTGTTTATATCATCTATTAATGCATGCATTTTTGCCATGACACTGTGAATGAATATGTACTTAACAATCATTTTGTCGTCTGTTTGAATTTATCGAATGATCATATCCTATCCCTTACTATCTGCATATCCTACAATCAGTGCCATCTATTTATTTTATTCTTATACTCTTCTGCCATTCTATCTTTCCTAATTTATTCTCTTCTTTTCCCTTCTTTTGCTCTCATCTATCTATTTCTAAAATCTCCTGTAAATTCAGATGCATATTTCTCCTCCTCCACTCTCCCACCCTACCCTTTTTCCCACTCTCCACGCCCCCGAAATCCTCTCTCCAGGGCCACGTCTGTTTTTTTCCCTTTTTCTTCTATCTCTGGTTTTTTTCTTCTTTGTATTGGTTTTTGTTTTTTTTCTTTTTTCCCCCCCGGGTAGGGGGGAAAAAAAGAAAATATTCCCCAAGTGAATTGAACGGTCACTTGTAGGACATGAGAGGGGGGGGGCAGGGGGATTGAGAGGGGGAGGTGAAGGGGGAGGGGTTAGTTCAGCTGTCCATGAAACCGTTTCTATAACGTTTCTGCTTCGGATATTATGAACAAAAGAGAGAGGGGGGGAGGGAGGGAGAGGGGATTGTACAATTGTTCAGGAACCGTTTGTAGAACGTTTCAGTTTCGGTGCTTGTCAATCATGAACAAAAGAGAGGAGGTCGGGGAGGGAGGGGGTAAGGGAAGAAAGAACAGCTGAAGGGGGATGGAAGAACAAGAAGAAGGGAAGGGGAAAAGGAGGAGAGGGGAATTGTTCAGGAAATTTACGTAAAGGGGGAAGGGGAGAGAGACACACCTATAACACACCCTCCGTTTCTCATCTTTTTAAATAATAGATGATGCAACAATATGAGTAATATTTTCCTCAAAGTTCTTGACATTGAGCATATATGGTGCGTGAGGAAATTATATTGTGAAAGAGAAAAGAGGGAAAAACCACATTGTTTAATCCTCCCATCCGCCAATTTCCGTTTTCTTTCCGTTTTCTGTTCTCCTCGTTTTCTATGCACAGGGGATCCTCGGGTTACGACGGTCTCGACTTACGACGGTTCGTGGATACGACGCTAGAAATGATTTACAGTATTTACAGTTTGTCTTCCATGTGTTCTTTTAGCCCTAGTTATGTTTTCATGTACGTCAAATAAGTGCCTTGCTATTGTTTTAGATTATGACTTTAATACATGTAGACATACTGCGTGAGCGTGTGTTGTATTTAGGTGTGTTCCGACTTACGTGAAAATTCGGGTTACGACGCCGACTTACGTTAAAATTCGGGTTACGACGCCATCGTAGCAACGGATCTCCGTCGTAAGTCGAGGACCCCCTGTTTATCTAATCATGCTCTTGTTTTTTTTTCTTTTCTTTTTCTTTTTCTTTTTCTTTTTCTATTTCTATTGCATATACTCTCTCTCTCTCTCTCTCTCCTCTCTCCTCTCTTCTCTCTCTCTCTTTCTCTCTCTCTCTCTCTCTCTCTCTCTATCTCTCTCTCTCTTCTCTCTCTCTCTCTCTTCTCTCTCTCTCTCTTCTCTCTCTCTCTCTCTCCCTCTCTCTCTCTCTCTCTCTCTCTCTCTCTTCTCTCCCCCCCTCCCTCCCTCCTCCCTCCCCCTCTCTTATTTCTCTATTTCTCACTCTCACCCTCTCTCCCTCTCTCCTCTCTCTCCCTCTCCCTCTTCTCTCTCTCCCTCTCTCTTCTCTCTCTCTCTCTCTCTCTCTCTCTCTCTCTCTCTCTCTCTCTCTCTCTCTCTCTCTGCTTCTCTCTCCTCTCTCTCTCTCTCTCTCTCTCTCTCTCTCTCTCTCTTCTCTTTCTCCCTCCACCCCCCCTCTCTCCCTCCCTCTCTCTCTCTCTATTTACCCATCTTTGATTTCGTTATCATATTTTCTCTTCTAAAATTAATGGAAGTCAAAGTAATGGCGATTATATGAAGATGAAGTTGATGATGATTACATTAGTTATGATGTAGATGATGTTAATAATTACCAGTTTATCTAATTATAATTAATGTTAATTACCATCACACCATCACAATTATCATTATGATTGTTATTATTAT